TGATCTGTCTCGTCTATTCCAGTTCTAGCCAGTTCGTCCTTAGAAATTCTTCACGAAGGCGTCACTCACCTTAGGCGGACAGCCCTCGATGCTTTGCCTTAATCATATAAACACGATCTTTTTGAAATACGGATGGTATAGTCCTTAGAAATTGGGGCGTGGCTTTAGTGCGTGGGAACCCTCTAAATTTGCGCCGTTAAAATTGTCCCAAAATAAGTGCTACATTTGTGGAAAGTAAAAACTGAGAATGAAAGCCTAGTACGCAACGTTACATTCACTGTAGTACACTGTGTAATTTTACTGACGTCGATCTACTAAACTGCATCGGAAGTTACTTATGACTCCACCTACTTGAAATGTAGCAACTAATTTGGGACAAAACTTTCGACTTAAGTATAGCAACTATGAACCTTATAAGAAATAGACTAAACCAAATGAGTTTTCTCCCTCGTCTGAGGCGTTCCCGGCTGTCACCTTGATCACATCCGAGGGAGTAGGGACGACTTGCAGAAATTTAACAGTGGTTGCCTATTGTAGCGTGTACAATTGTCAAGAGAAAGCTGGTTGTAGCCATGGACCTCATAAGAAATAAACTAACCCAAACGGGTTTTCTCCCTTGTCTGAGGGGTTGCCGGCTGTCACCTTCATCACATCCGGAGGAGTAGGGACGACTTCCAGAAATTTACATTGGTTGCCTATTGCAGCGTGTATAATTGTCAAGAAAAAGCTGGTTGTAGCGCCTCATTTCACAAATTAGAATTTCTACATGTTTTTATTTTTGAAATTGAGATTGATTTTTAAAAATGTAGCATATTTATCGAGCATAATTAGCATTCCAAATAATTATAAAGCTATTGCATGCTTTCAGGACTGGATATTTTTTTTAGCTTTTCCTATGCTGTAAGGAAATTTGTAACTACTTCTTTTTAGAAAATAATATTTTAAATCTAACTAATAGAAAATTTCAAACAAGAAATTTTCTCTTGCAAATTTTATTTCAATTATATTTCATAATACATCATAGTGATAAACACTTTTGAATACTTAATAAGTTTTATACATTTAATTCTAATATTAAAATTGTATTTAACCGTAATAATTAATTTTGCTTGTATTTTATAATGATTATTTTTTTAAATTTATTGTTAATTTAATTTATTAGCCCATGCATGAATACATGTATGTTTCTCTCACTGTGACAAAAAAGACAGTATCTAGAGCCATCGAATTTTGAATAATGTAATCCTCCACCCGAACACAGGCTTCTGGGCGGCCGAATTTCGAATTTGTTTTAATCTATTTCACATTTTGTAAACTTTTAACGAATTTTTGATTAACAAACTCAGCGAGTTCAGAGCGAGCACTGTACGGATATGCTGTTTTCAAATGTATGTGGTTTACGGGCGAAGAACATGATATTCAATAAATATAGGTAACACAGCAAAACTTTAAAAAAAAGTGCTCCTACATTTTATTTTATATTTTTTTTCCTTCATTACGCTCAGAAAATTTTATGCTCCGAATTTTATGAATTATTAAAATAACTAATCCACTTTAATGTTAAAAATTTAATGATCATATAATCAAATAAATATGATCGTTTTGTAATGTTATAGTTTGGGAAAATCACTGCTGAAAATGTTCATTAAATTAAAAAAAAAAAAAAAAAAAAAAAAAAAAAAAAAAAAACCAGACCTTGTTTAATTTTACCTTATTTATCTCAAAGCATCGCGAACTATCAATCTCATTTAATTTTACTTTATTTTTAAGCAAAATTAAGCTCATAAATTTTGTGCTTAGAGTTTTTAGCGTTTTACCAAAGTAAAGATGTTTGTACAAGAATTACGCGTGAAAAAAATGCGCGAAATGCAGTAAAAAGTGCCTTAATGAGATATATTAAATCCTATTTGGAAAAAACTGTGGCTTTCATAATCTCATCACTATACAACATATCACATTTAATAATTAAAAAGAGTTATGTGATACAAACGCCATAGGTTTCAGTGTTAAAGTAAACCAGATCGTCCCTACTCTTTCGTTTCGACATGTCGGTGACGCGCGCTCCGCCCACTGGGTTAGTCTATCTATTATAAGGTCCATGCCTAGAACCCCTTTAAATGTGACTTTAAAACTTTTTAACATAGATGTGCCTATTGTAAATAAGGCTGTTTATCTTGGTGTCGTCATGAATAATAAACTCATGTTGGAAAGACCATGTGACCATGGCTGCACTTACTAGTATTTCTTCCATTATGGGCAAAAACTCAAAAGTTAAACCTCTCTAAAAAGAGACATTTATATACGGCGGTTATCCGTCCCATTTTCTCGTACGCGTCCCCGGCGTGGGCAGCGGCCACACATAGAGATTTAAATAAATTGCAAATTCTCCAAAACAAAGCCCTGCGTTTAATGACAAACGCACACTACTTTGTCTCTAATAACACACTTCACAGAGACCTAAAAATTGAACCTGTTGACAAATTTCTTCACCGCACCAACAGCAGTTTCTTCGATAGAGCTGTCAGTTGCCCGTACCTTTCTCAACTCAACACGTTTGATTATGACTACAAAATAAGACCGTACGCTGCATATATCCACGAGGAATGCAAATTTCCCTACTTAATTATGATAGCGCACGAACACTTTGTATATATGTAAATATTTATTTTAATGGATTTATTTATTTTATCGTATTTGTGTATTTATGTACTGTAAATAATATTTAACTTTCTGTTATTTTTTTACGATAACGAAATTGTTTGCGACACCATGTTCAAAATTCACCAAATTTGTTACCTCAAGAACTATTTATTACTCGAAAATAACTATCTATATCTCTTTAGTTATTTAAGACTCTACAATAATTAAACAGTTCTTTTATTCATACTCTCAAATGATGAAAACAAAAGTTAGACTTAACTCTCTAAAAAAGAACAACATCATAGTATGTTGCCATTCTCTGAAAACATAAACTGTTACAAAACATAGATAATAATAATATGAATAGACAATGAATAAAAAAACCTATATAGAGTAAAGAAAACTATTGCACCTGCTTGAAGCTCGTGCAATATTACTCAGAAGCTGCAGTTACAAAAAATATAAAATATATATATAAACAAAAATATTAGAGTCAAAATATTGTTCATCCTCCCACCTTGCAATATGAAATTCGGGATTGAGTATTGCAAAATAATAAAAAATTAAACATTATTCTCACAAGTCCAATCGATGAGGAACTCTAATTGTCCTTTCTGATTTGGCTATCGTGGGCGATTTTAAATGAGTATGAATTATTCTATTTGTTTCTACAGGTACATCATCAATTGGAGTTTGCTCTACCGAAATATTTTCGCATGGTTGACTTCCGCTGAATTTCGATGGAAGTTCCTCGGCAGTCGATAATTCCAAAGGATAAAGATTTTGTACAGCTCTTATGACTTCTCCATTTTGCACTTCTTATAAGAGGATGATCACTTGGCAAAATAGCAGGAGTTCTGAACTCAGATGTATCTTCTCTTTGAAATATTGCTGTTTTAGTTCTGATGATCCCACAATCAATGAATGGATTAAGACTTAAAATCCGTTTATCTTCTATTCCATTAAAGGACTCATTTTGTATTAAACGAATCAAGATATTCTCTGCTTCATTTAACTCAGATACAGTAAGTTCATCCTTTTTCTTGTTTTGATGTTTACAGTTGTAAACAAAACGACACATCCACGCTACCAGTCTGATTGTCTTACGATAACTTGAGAATCTAGTAGCAACTATTTCACTAGCATTAAGATTTATTAAGGACGAAATAATCCTTTTCTTTTTCTCAAGAGCTATTTCTTCTTCATCAGCACTAAAATCTTCTTTTGGCCATTTTTCAGGTGATAAATATAGCCATTTAGGTCCTTCCCACCATCTGGATTTAATTAAATAAGAAGCAGAGCATCCTCTACTGGGCAAATCAGCAGGATTCAGTGATCCTGGTACGTGCCTCCAGGATTCAATAGAAGTCAGTTGCTTTATTTCCTTAATTCTGTTGTGAACAAATACGTCCCATACTTCATTTCTCTGTATCCAAGCTAGCACAGTAGACGAATCTGTCCAAAAATAAATATCATCAGCTTGAAATTCAGGTATTATGCTGGATGCTAAACGTGCACATATTGTAGCTCCAAGAAGTTCCAATCGAGCTATTGTTGTCTTTTTCCTTCCGCTGGGTGCAACTCTCGCTTTAGCTTGCACCAAATGAACTTGAACCGAATCTCTTGTTTGTACTCGAACAAAGGCCACAGCTGAATATGCAAGTTTACTCGCATCACTGAAGAAATGAAGTGAGATATTTTCAATCTCACGATCACAGTTTAACCATCTTGGTATTCTCATTCTTTCCAGACACTGCAAATCATTCAACCATTTACAAAATTGTGATTTTGAATTTGAATCAACTTCTTGGTCCCAAGATAACTTAACTTCCCATAGGTGCTGAAGTAAAAGTTTCGGCACAAGAGTTACGGGGCAAGCTATTCATTCCTAAAGGGTCGAATATTTTGTGTGTAGTAGCTAAAATCTCTCTTTTAGACAAAATTTCTGGTAGACTTGTAGGTGATGTTAGTAATATTAAGGCAAAGGTAATCTCCACATCGTTCCCAAATCATTCCTAATACATTTGTGGTACTAGAGGAATTATCTGTTGGGTCACTATATTCCCAACCACGTAATTCTAGCTTTCTTGTAGCTAAAGTATCTGAAGCAACTTGTATGAATTGTTGCAATTCTAAATCATTTTTCACACTCGCTAAACAATTATCTACATAAAAGCTCTTCTTCAATTGCTCAATAATATCCACTTTATACTTTGGGTTTCCATTTAGTTGTTTCAAAGTGGATTCTAGAAGATGGTGAATTACAGAAACTAGCAAGAAAGGGCTGCTTGTAACTCCAAATACTACCCTACAATGCCTGTAATACTTCAGTTTTCCATCAGTTCTATACCATAAGAATCTTAGATAGTCTTTATCCTTAGGGTTGACTTGAGACTTATTTGTAAGAATGCTTTTCGTATATCTGCAGAAACTCCTATTCTGTTCATTCGGAATCTATGAAGAATTGAAGGAATCAGTTCGATAAGGTTCTGACCTTTTTCTAGACAATCATTGAGACTAGGGGATCCTTTTTGTTTGGCCGAGGCATCAAACACTGGCCTGATTCGTGTAGTACTGTTTTCTTTTACTACGTGTCGATGTGGTAGATAATGGCATGTTACATCAATTTCGCTTTTTGGTACTTCTTCTATGATGCCTTCTTGTTCCCATTCACTAAAAACTTCTCCATAAGCATCATAAAGTTTCTCAGCTTTTAGTCGTTTTACTGTAGAAGCTAATCTCTTTACAGCTAAGTCATAGTTATCTTTTAACGGTAGATGGTTATCAAGCCATGGCAAGCTGACTTGAAAACGCCCCTCTTCGTTCACCTTTACAGTAGACAAGAAATGATCTCTTGCTTCTTCTTGAAGTTCCAGTTTACTTTTTCTTCTCTGATGGGATCTAGAATTCCAAGTGAATCTAGAGACCATAGATCGGATATCAATATTTCCTTATTCAACATGGATGTGACGAGCAGTGCGGAATTGTCCGAGATCTCACGCATACCATTTTTCCCGAAAAAGAGTCCAACCAAGTTTTGTTTCTATAGCAGCAAGGCCTGAAGTAAGCAATTTAAATCCTCCGGTCATCAACTTGCCTGCAATGTCAGCGCCAATAAGTATTTCTATTGGTCCATTACTATCGTCGCATACGGATATATTGTTCTCTTTAAGCTCTCGAATCCACTCGCCATTAGCAACTGGTGGTATACTTCCACAAATAATATCTTGGCTAAGAGCTTTGAAGTTACAATGATAAGTTCCATCCGTTTTAGACAAGAACACTGTAAAAACATCGTGGTTTATGACATCAGTACATGACCCGCCAAATAATGAATGGCTCAATCTTTCTTTAGATGTACTCTCAAATTTCATTTCATCTGCAGTGCTTTTTAAAATATAAGATCTCTGTGAAGCTGAATCGATAATAGCACGGGCCTGGCGCTTTCTATCTCGCCCTTTCAATGTAACCGTTAAAGTTTGCAAAAACACATTTGTTGTTCTCGCCAAATTGGCGAGGGTTTCATCTCGTTCAGGTACTGCATCCGTATTTTCATCCTTATTCGTGCTAACAGGAACTGGAGATTTTGATTCAGCTTGGATATTTCTACATAAAAGTATGTGGTGTTTCTTCCCACAAATCACACACGATGTTCGTTTTTTACATTTAGCTATTACATGTTTTCTGTCTAAACATAAAAAGCAACTGCGACTATTTAGAACTGCTTTTTGCCTTTCCTCAGACGTCATCTTTCTTGCTTTAATGCAATCACCAGATGCATGATTTCCAGCACAAAAAAATACATCCAGTTGAATTTTGTTCAGATGTTGCTATTAGAGTAGAAGCAGAAGGTGTTTTGGAAAATTCTCCACGGTTTTTGAAACCAAAGTGTTTAGCATTCCCAGGCTTAGGTGTCTGATATTTAGTAAAGCACTGAGTAGCTATAGATACTCTCTCTTCACCTTCAATTTCATCGAGCAAAAATGAAAGCAAACCATCTAAATCCATGCGATGTGTTGACGCATTTTTCTCTTTTTGCTCACTACTTTCAGATTCTCTCTGACTGCGATTAATAACTCGGAATCTTTGCCATGCTCTTAATGTATCATCCGGCAATGACGATTCGACTAGAGGATATAACATCGCCGCATATTTATCTCTAGCAACACCCAGAACTTCTAACGCTCTTAGTTTCGATTCTAAGTTATCATAGAGTTTTCGTAATGAAAATTTCTGCTGAGAGTTTTTTAATAATACTAACGAAAGTAGATCTCTAACATAGACTTCTATAAGAAGGTCTTCTTTCCCAAAACGCGATTGCAGTTGTTCTAAAGCTTTACTATAACTTTCGCCACCGGGCGGAAAGCTTTTGATTAACTCTTCAGCAGATGACCCTTTTTCCATAGACTGCAATAAATATGCAAATTTATCATGATCATCTAAATTGGGATCATTATCGATCTTTTTAAACTGGCCCCAAAATCCTAACCAGCTTTTAATATTCCCATCAAAAATCGGAAGTTTAAGCTTAGGATAACGAATAGTAGCATTTTGAGTTAAGCTTTCATTAACAACAGAACCGTTTTCCTTTTCAGCTAGAAGCGAAACTAATTTGCTTTCTACCATTCTCCACTTATCAATATAGCATTCTGACTCATCAAACTCGTTATTTATCACAGTTTCATCTTTTTCAATTTTAATCAATTCTTCTCTATAAGTCTGTTCTATTTCAATCATAGGTTTTGCTTTGTCCTCAACTAATTTAAGTTTCGAAATTTTTCCGTCTAAAGATAAATCATTTTCATTCTTCTCAAAATCATTTAAAGCTTTTGTAAACAATCTCCTAAATTGAGATCGTTTGCACTTCAAAACATCCATTATAAATAAACGAAAGAATTCTACTTACAGATAACAGTCCAGTCAGCGGACGCCAAATGTTCAAAAATTCTCACCAAATTTGTTACCTCAAGAACTATTTATACTCGGAAAATAACTATCTATATCTCTTTAGTTATTTAAGACTCTACAATAATTAAATAATTCCTTTATTCATACTCTCAAAATGAGGAAAACAAAAGTTACACTAACTCTCTAAAAAGAACAACATAGTATGTTGCCATTCTCTGAAACATAAACTGTTACAAAACATAGATAATAATAATATGAATAGATAATGAATAAAAAAACCTATAGAGTAAAGAAAACGATTACATCTGCTTGAAGCTCGTGCAATATTACTCAGAAGCTGCAGTTAGAAAAAAAAATATAAACAAAAATATTAGAGTCAAAATATTGTTCACTGTATTTACTTGGTATTCTTCCCTTTCTTAACTAACTAATATGCAAAGATATTTATATGCTAAAAAATCATTGGGCGAATAATTTCATTTCCGAAGGATGCGGTCATAGTAAGAACATAACAAATCAAAAGTCTTCATGGATAAATTACTAGCAACTATCAGAGAATTATTTTTTAAAACAAACGTACATTCCAATAAGAATGCGTAATAGTATTAAAATTACGGTATTCAGTAAGATATCTTCATTTCTGTTTCTCCGTATATTGAAGCTTATTTTCTTACTTTTGTCCACAGTTACTTCCTAGGCTCCAAATTAAAAGGGCTCTGCAGTTGTGTCGTCTGCTACAACTTGCAATTCGTCACACCTTGTCATCGTCTTCTTCACATTTCAGTCTGTCTTAACTCATAAAAGTGTTAGCATTTAATTAGTTCCTTTATTAAAAACACA